GATAACTCTATCCGTTTATGGGATGTTAAGACAGGATAATAAAAAGCCAAATTAGATGGTCATTCAGGAACAGTTTACTCAATTTGTTACTCTCCTGATGGTACTACATTAGCATCTGGCAGTTAAGATAAGTCTATCCGTTTATGGGATGTTAAGACAGGATAATAAAAAGCCATATTAGATGGTCATTCAATACAGTTAATTCAATTTGTTACTCTCCTGATGGTACTACATTAGCATCTGGTAGTTATGATAACTCCATCCGTTTATGGGATGTTAAGACAGGATAATAAAAAGCCAAATTAGATTGTCATTCTGGAACATTTTATTCAATTTGTTACTCTCCTGATGGCACTACATTAGCATCTGGTAGTTAAGATAAGTCTATCCGTTTATGGGATGTTAAGACAGAATAATAAAAAGCCAAATTAGATGGTCATTCATCATCAGTTTATTCAATTTGTTACTCTCCTGATGGTACTACTTTAGCATCCGGTAGTATGGATAAGTCTATCCGTTTATGGGATGTTAAGACAGGATAATAAAAAGCCAAATTAGATGGTCATTCTGATACAGTTTATTCAATTTGTTATTCTTCTGATGGTACTACATTAGCATCTGGTAGTTAAGATAAGTCTATTCGTTTATGGGATGTAAAATCCGGACAACAAATCTTATCATCCTATAATCGCTATAAAGATATTTTAGCTTAATTTTAGCCATCAATACTTAAAAATACTGCTTTTACAGAAAGCGGTATTTATATTTCACTATTATTTAGTTACTTCAATTGTTACTATCTTTGTAATATCATAATAGCTAATATTTTAATCATAAGGTGCTCTAATTTTGAAAGGAGAATTTATTAATCAATCAGGCATTGACTTGAGGATGTTATTTTAATAAAGAGGTAGCTGCATTTTAGACAACTAAATTGGATAATAAAAACAATAAAATTGATTATTATAATAACACATGCATTACACATTAAAATTTTTTCAGTAAATGATTGCCCTAACTATATTCATGTTTTTCTCTCTCTTTTGTATCTTAGCGAGGTATTTAGAATTAAGCTGTCATGATAACAATCGGACTTATGAAAGCGAAATCTACCGAAAATGATTTCCAGCCATACAAACCATTTTAGAATCGATGTCAAGAGTCACAACTTAGATTCATACTGGTTTCAACAATAGGGTCCTTTTCCTTAGACATAATTAGAGTAGTGAGCCAAGTTGCCATGGGTAAGTAATCACATGCCGATGTTTTACACCTCTTATATCAATTAAAACCATACAAGTTTACTTGTCGAACTACATTATTTCACATATGCAGCTCATCCCTAACTTGTGCTTTTTTTCCCTTTGCTCGCAAATTAAACAAACACATTTTAGGATATAAATAAATTTATAAAAGAAAATCATTTTTTCCATATCATTATTTTAAATATACTTTTTTACAAATATGCTAAGACACTCAGAATCGTAAGACCAAGTTAACAACTGTCTAAAAGAATTGGATCAATAGCTATAAGTAAAGTATAAATCCCAATATACATAAAAAATCATACATTATAATGGATGATGCCATTGCTTCTAATGAAGATCTGCTTCGTCCTTTTCAACAAACACAAAGTATCCAAAATCCCTTCTTGAGCAACACCTAATACTCATCCCTTTTCAAAGTAAAACTGAGGTTGGAAGATATTATCCTTCATGAAGTGAATGAGATTCAACAACATAAGAAATTGCATGCACTAGTCTAACAAGTAAAGAAGAAAAACAAGAAGTCGTACAAGCTTATGTCAGAAAGGAAGATTTGTATGAAATTTTGGGTTAGAGGAACAACATTTACTTTGATTAGATATGCTCGGGTTGGAAAAAATAATAGATAGTATCCATCAAATACATTGGTAATATACAATGATAAAATTCAACTTTTTAGACAAGAAGACAAGTTCTAGTAAATTGATGCACTGAAGGAACTCTCAAACATTTTAACTGAGCACTTTGAATTTATGATGAGGGGTAATACTAAATTTCAAGTAGTGCATTATTCTCTCTCCGAATCTGGAGAAATTAAAAAAAATTTTGAACTGATGTCTAGCAAGTTGAGGTACAAGAAAATTTTCGTCCCAGCATAAAGCATCCAGAGTTACATCAGTTCAGACAAAATAATGATATAGACACTCCTGCTCTTGTCTCATCATCGCTAATATCAAGAATCGTGGTATAATTTACATAAGAGTTTTTCATAATCTCAAATAAATCTGCATACTATTAATAATTGTGCTTCATTCTTAGATATTTAATTTTAGCATGAAGCACATTAAGGAGATTAGTACTCTAAAAGGACAAGGAAGTGCTTAAGAGATTTTAGAGAATCAATCTAAACTATTCTAATTTTAGTCACTAGTTTCGTAATGTTCTGCACAATTTTTAAGCAACTTTTTCTTATTCACCAAACTTATTATAGATTGTTTTATTATAATAGTATCCATTACATAAGAATCTCAATTTTTATCTATATAACAATTGTTTGACAAACACTAAATGGTATATTATAATCAAATGTCGTCACCATCTGAATCAAATAATTATAGCAATCATTAACAAGAAAAGGATATGGAGCATAACCTTTAGGTAGCGTAGCAAGTATTATTACAGGATTAACATGCGTTTGATTAATTTAGGGTATCAATAACTCTACGTAGTTACCTAAATTAAGAAGCGCATGCTAAAACTTTCCAAAATTTAGGAGGTTTCCTAACAAGCATTCACAAACAAAACCTCCACCAGCCAAACACCTATACGCTAAGCATGCTTAGCTGAATTTAACAAATAGTGTAGCGTTAAAAATACATGGGCAACAGACGACATGCATCAAAGAAGATAGCATAACTAACACAATGTAACCACATAACGAAATATCCTATTTTAGAAAAGACGCACATGAGTATGAAGCTGATTATAAATAAGAACCTGAAATTAAAGAAATATGTAGAATTTTCAGAATATGTTTAGGAATGCTTGAAAAATCTTGTAAGATGCAAGTTATGCATTAAATCTATACTACAGTTAGCAGAAGAAAACAAGTGAATTTTTAACAAAAAGCCTTGCTGAAGCCTGCAGACTACTAAAATATAAATGTGATGCATAAGATTTGCAGTGCACAAAGCTGTAGAAGTTAATTAAGTATATCAAATTTTGTTCAACCAAGGGATGATGATTACGAGCCTAATTTGCAACAGCAGTGATATCAGAATATGATGAGGAATAGGATACTCAATCTAAATAAAATCCACAAAAAAAAAAGAGCAGCAACTTTATTAGAATATATCATTACATGATAATTAAAAGTCGATGAACATTCTCTATAAGTTTAGCTATCAATACGTAATATAAAGTTAATAGCATTACTAATATGATTATTACGAAATGAATCAAGTTTAATAATTGAGTAAGGATACACATGTTTTCACATGCTGCTAGATCAATCTTAAAGTTTTCAACAAAAAATGCACTTGAGCTATATCCAGATACAGTTGAGGACTTGATATCGCTACTCTAAGATCTTATAATTAATCATGGGGCTGTTAAGCTTGCCAACTTTTAACACAAATTTGAAAGATAGAAGTTTCACATATTTCAGATGCTGCTTGGAGAAAGAATGATTATTACATTTGTTACAAGTATTTGCCGTCCTCATAGGGCATTTCACTATTTTGGCAACGAGGATAAAATCCATAATAACAATAAACTATTATGGATTTCAAGTTGATGTACCTAAACGTAATCTTTCGATAAAGGCTTCAAATATAGGTTTAAATAAGCTTTTTAAAATGATATATAGATAAAACTATCCATCTCAATTTGCACTGTATCAATTTCCGGATATATAAAGGCATATGTCAAATATCTCGTGACACAAATTTTCAACCATAGCAGAGGAATGTGTCAAACCATACACACCTAAAGGCAAGATATTTAATTTCGAAAAAAATATAGTTTATTCTTGTATTCTATGATACACATAGATTCTGAAGTTAAACCACTTTAGATAATATTTTTTTGCTTACGTGTTAAATATTCCATCAATTAGAGATATACTACAAAAACAATTAGTTCTTTTTCCTTATTAATTTAGCCAGGCTCCATTCATCAATTGAACTTAAAAAAAATTAAAAATGAAAGGATGATGTGTTGGTGCTTGAAGATTTCTAGAATAGATTTGTAATACAATTATGATTAAATTTAGATTTTTATATTTTTAGACAATAAATTGATGTATGCACTTCATTCATCAATAGGTTGAATGATGAATGTTTCAAAACGTCTCTAAGAAAATTTCGTAAAATTTAATATAAGGAATCAGTTCTTGGTGTAATTCAAAATTACTTGATGAATTCAATAGATTAATAATGAAAGTTGACTCAAAAAGAAAAAATACAAAAATGCTCATTTATTTAATAATTCATATATGGAATATCCTTGATTTTTGTTATACCAGTACACCAAATACTGTCCATTGTTTGTGATAGTTCCATAAATACTATATGTGGCACAACTCAACTAATCAACAATATTGTACTTCCCATCATTAAATTCTTTAAGAATATAAATAAACATTTTATATCTTAGGACTATCAAGCCCCTCACTTTATTATAAATTATTGGAAAATGATATTCGTCATAAATTTTATTATTTGTCATTAAATGAATTGTTTTACTCTAATTCACTTAAAAGACTCCTTCTATTCTTTCAAAAATAAAAATTTTATCTATTTAGTTAGCATTAGTTATCAAGATAAATTAATTTTCTTTAATAAACTTAATTTTATGCCCATACTCTTAAAATGGTTATGTAACAAAATATTAGAATTCAAATTTGCCTTCTTCTTTTCTTTCCCAAATAATAATTTAATTGTAACCTTTTGCACATGATACTAATAAATTCTCTGATTCATTTAAGCTCAAAGAAACAACATCATTATTATGGTTATTCAGTGAATACAGAAATTTCAATTTATTTTGGTTCAAATCAACCTTCCAAACTTTGTTTGATTTGTCAAAGCTTCCAGAAAATAGTAAATCTTCATTTGAATTCAATAATATAAATATTACATAATCTGTATGTTATTAATAAGGCTATGAGCAAATCCACTCATTTAGTCCAATTGCCAGCACCTTATTGATTTGTCTTAAGAACATGAAATGAAAGAATTCTATTTGTTACTATAAACTAAGCATTAGGCCTAATCAGTATGTCCATATAAAGTATTTTAGATTTTGATTGTTCCATTTAGAAAACTCCATACCTTAATGTCATTCTTTTCGGTTGAGACCATAATTGACCCAGAATAGTCAAAAGCTATTCCTTAGCATTTTTCCCATTATTTAACAGATTAATCAATTAATTATAATTTTATGGAATATTGTTGTGATAAATTAGTATAATAGGTGCTCATAACTTATTCATAAAATTATTACAAGTTTAATTTATCTTTATTCTAATTGAATTAGGCTAAGATATTTGATAACTTTGTTATCCGATCTATTAATATTATTAATGAGTTTTATATGAGATTCAAAATTTCTATTCTATTTATTAATATGGTCATCTAACTCATCATAGAAACTGTATTAATTGAACTTTTATCTTTATGCTTATAAATTCAAAATCCAATCTTCAGCTGTTCTAATGATAGAGTCAAATAATTTCATAAAATATGTCTTTAAATCCTATGCACTTGTTATACACAGTTTTATTTTTTGAACTGTGTTTTGAAGTAATATCATCTAAGGTACTTGCATTTTTTTAATAACTTCTTCAATGTTTTAGATTATTAGTTTTAATCCAACAATCTTAGAATCTGCTTAGAAATTCTACAGGCATTCATTGCACCAAAGCCTTTGTTTCTTTTCGATTTTTTGATCAAGCAAAACCATACTACATGGTTGGAGGTGTTTATTTAAACAATAAAATTCTTTCTCATTTTCTATCATTTAGGGTTTAAACATTTAATTAATAATAAAATTTATTGTATTATTAAAATATATAGAACCTAAAATATATAAGAGTAATACCGTATTAGAATGTAAAAAGGCGTATTTTTGACATTAAATCACAATGCATAAAAGCTGACCTAAAAATGATTATTATTAATACTTTTAATGATCAAAAATGATAAATGCAACTATCATATTATCAACCAATTTAACTAATTGAGATGTTAGAGAAATTCATGAATTTCTTGTACTTTATGTTTGATTTTCTCATTTTTTTGAACTCTATAGATTTGGCAGGACTTGATCTACCAGATATCTAATGTATTTACAAAATATTCAACAAAAAAGATATAAAGTTAATAAAAGCAGACTGTAATCCAAGCGAATATCCATCTATTATAGTTAAATTATGTTTCATGAAAATTAGTTATCAGGTAAGAAACAATAGTATATGAAAAATCATTTTTCAGCAGTTCTCATAAATCTCTTAATTGGATCAATACTACCCTTTAAGTATACTTTTAATTATATTTTCCCAAAGTAAATTGTTGAATTATAATTATAGTGGTTTATAAATATATATTTTAGTAATTGTTAAAATACCAAGTTTAATTTTGGTTACTCTGATCCTTGTTAAATAATATCTGAAGCATAACTTAAATCCTAAATAAATAAGTTCAGTCTCATTAAGCTTTAAAAGGAAAGTAGGAACAGAAACAGTTTTATAACCATCATCCATTGATGTCTGAACATTTTTGAAATTCTATAATTATATAATTCTCTACTAATATTTTAAGATCTAGAGATTGGAAAAAATATCAACATAAATCAAAATATTTTAGGGAAAGAGAGTTAAGTTCTAAAGGAACTTAAGGTTTAGAATAGATATCAAGGATAGTTTAAAAAGACATCCCAAACTATTTGCTAAGAACCAAATTACCGATCCATCTAATGAAAAAGTTTGCCTAAACCCAGCATAAATTCATGTATTTTGTAAAAATTTATTGCAATTTTTAAATATTCTTGTCCATACTTTAATAATCATCGAAATAATTTAATAAATTAGGTAATATATCTTTGATATATACTTAATAAAAAAACAAATAATGCAAGTATTATTTATTTTTCATTATTTATTAAATCTATATAATAAGGAATGCAGGTATAATTTAATAATTATAATGAAGTATCGCAAATTAAACATGTACCAATTAATTTAATTAAATACAAAACATCACAATATTATTTTTCTTCGACAAAGATTCTTTTGGAAAATTTAGATGAAATATTCAAATTTATGAGTATTTTAGAAAGTCAATATTTATAAATCAAAAAATTATCTGTAGTGAGTTATTCCCTTTATAAAAAAAAAAAAAAGATTTGTAAATAAAGCTACAGTATTGTACAAGGATATGGAATTTATGAGAATTTATTTAATATTAAAAGTAAAATAATATGATAATTGAATATATTGGATATTAATAGAATTGAGATAATTAAATGGTGTGAATGAATATAAATTAGATATAAAATATTAAAAAACGATTTAGTAATTGAACTTAAAGTAAAGATGTTAATATCAGTTTCAGATAT